TATATTATTTATGTCTCCTCAATCTTTTACGATCTGGACGATCGGGTATCCATCCTTCAGTTTGCTGATGGCATTGCAATGTTTGTTGAATCTGCAAGTGCCGAGGATGGGTGCCCTATCCTGGAGGGTGGAGTTGAGGAGGCCAGCGACAGGCTCTCCAACCTTGGCTTAGATCTTGCCCCTGGAAAAACTGTGTTGGTTGACTTCAATAAGAAAAACATTGTACCTGGAAGCGTAGCTATAAATGTTAATGGCGTTGAAGTCTCTTCATCTGAATTCGTTAAATTCTTAGGTATTTATTTTGATTATAGACTCAAACTTAAGAAGCAAACTGACTCAGACAGATGTCGATGTTATAAAGCTTAACATATTATTAAGTTTCTTTGCGATACGTGGTGGGGCAGTGATCCACTACTACTGATTACTTTGTACAAAAGTTATGTCCGGTCAATTTTGGAATACGGTGCTATTGCATACTATGTCTACAACCACTCCATTCCCCTAAAGCTTGAGAGAATCCAAAATGCTGCCATCCGCATTGCATATGAATACCGTATTTCTACTCCAAATAATGTGTTGATTGCTGAATCCAAAATGATAACTGTTAAAGAACGCATCAAGTTCCTACTTAAAACTCATGTTTCTAAGGTTTTGGCGGGCTCAAATGTATACCTTTATAACAAGATCATTAAATTCTACAACTCTTTTAGTACTTTTCCCGGTAAAGGGTCTTACTTCCTGGGGGAGTGTATCTCTGATGTCTTGTCTCTAAGAGGGCATATTTGCCCTACTAACTTTACTAAACCGAAATCCTTCTGGAATCTCAAGGTTTACGATATAGATCTTGACACGGATAAAATCTACCAGGACCAACCGGAGGCTAGAGATGCACTTTCCCTTTGGTTGCAGAGCCTTGGGAAAATTCTTAATTATACGGATGGCAGCAAAATTCTGGGAAATAATCACGCTGGTGCGGCCACTGTCTGTTCGGCACTTAATGTGGAAGTTGCCAAAAGCGTTTTTAAAGAGACCTCCATATTCACTGCAGAATACATTGCTATGTGCGAAGCAGTGAATGTTGCACTTACTCAACCTACATCGGATTTTATCGTTCTCTTGGACTCCCTTACTGTGTTGCAAGCTTTAAAATCTTCCACCTTTAATACACTTTCCAACCCGTTCTTAGACAAACTCAAGATCCTAACTGATCAATTCTTGTCTATTGATACCTCAGGTACCATTAAGTTTATATGGATTCCGGCCCACCTTGGCATTCCGGGGAACGAGAGGGCTGATAAGGTTGCTAAGCTGGCCACTATGTTCAACCATTGTGATTACAAGGCTGTACCATTTTCTGATCTCAAAGCTAGTTTTAAGAAAGAGGCCAAAGACTGTACAGTTAGGTGGGTGTTAGAGGCCGGTCAAGAAAAGGGAAAGTTATTCTTTGAAAAATTTTACAACGATAGATCTACTCCCTGGTTTAAAGGCATAAACCTGACAAGGAGTCTTATCGTCACGATAAATCGCTGTCGCGCAAATCACTACAATCTGGCTGCGTCATTAGCGAGAGTTAATATTGTTAATGAATCGAAATGTAAATGTAAAGATGCCAAAGAAGATTTGGATCATGTCATATGGCAGTACCATCTATACGATGTTCCGAGAGTTACCTTGCACAACAGTTTGGCTAAGTTACCTTACTTCCCCCCGTTTCATTGTGACGAATTCCTGTATGATCCTAACTTTAAGGCTTTCAGAGAAATTTGTAAATTCCTAGAGGAATGTAAGCTAAATATTTAAATTTTTATATTTGTAAACTTTGTAGCTATAAAAGCCTTTAAGGTCTTAATAAAGCTTATTTTCAAAACTAAAAAAAAAAACTTAACTTATCCGTTAAAAGAGTGAGGTTATTAATAAATGCTGTGTCGTCTCTGTATTTGAACGCAACCCCAAAATTTATTGTTAAACCAACTTTAATGGACTTGTTGAATTCACCTAAAATTGGTCGATTGAAAATGAATTAACTTCAGTCGTACTTTTACATAAATAACTTTTTAATAGATATTAATAATAAAAAGTGGCATTGAATTCTATTGATTTGCAGAATCGGTACTTAGTATCAGATTCAATCAATCAACTTTATGGTAGTTTTTTGCATTAATTTCAGTCGACTTTAAAAGCAATTATTTTAATCTGTATTTAATCGAATAGTATCAGAAAAATTATGCAAAACGTATGTTAATATCACTTGTAATAAAATCACCAATAAACTGGATACAAAAATCTAATGCAAAAAAGAATAATTCAAGTCGATTCACTTACTTGCACACTGTTACAGCACTAATAAAACATGTTTTGATCAAATAGGATAAAGATAGATTAAACAAAAAAGTACTATTTAGGTCGATAGGAATTTTACTTAGCTTATATAAAATTTTATCGCCTTGTATGGCAAAGTTTGTTTTAGCTCAATTAGTTATTATCCAATAACCTATGTAAAATATTATCCAATATAATCTCAATAGGTGTCATCTATTAGATCACGAGGACCCAGGTTGAAATCCATCAATTAATGTCATAAAAAATGATTTTAAAAAACAAACCCAAGTAAATACGAAACTACACTTATAAGATTAAATCACAGAACATTAAATTTAATGAATCGAAAAAAAAGAATTTTTAAATTGAAGCACAAAACTTTTCCATCATTAACTTACTGTACTATAGCAAATATCTAAATAAAAAAGCCAAAATAATTTATTATTGCTTACGAATGAGACCAGTTATAATTTTTGTTCATAATAATTGTCAGATATTTAGTACCTGTCAGTTTCATTAAAGTGCCATGCCCTCAAAACCATTTAGAATATTCAAAATAAAATGTTTAAGAGCTTGCTTAAGGGCAGTCCAGAGATAGTTAAAATTTCCTACCTTATCGGTAAGGTTACTCGAATTGCATAGCTTTATAACATTATTTTTTGAGCAGCTAGCTATTTTATCGAAAAAATAAGAGTAGACGCACATTCTTGACACATCAAAGAACAAATCAAGCCCACACTTGGAAAAATTGATAGAGAATTCAAGGCAAAAAGTGAAAAATCAACCAGATGTTGAATTGATAATATGTAACCTGATTTTTCACTTTTTGCCTTGAATTCTCAATCAATTTTGCCAAGAGTGAGCTTGATTTGTTCTTTGATGTTTTAAGAATGTGCGTCTACTCTTATTTTTTCGATGAACTAGCTAGCTACTAAATAAATAATGTATAAAGCCATGAAATTCGAGTGACCTTATCGATAAGGTAGGAAACCTTAACTATCTCCGGACTGCCCTTAAGCACATGCACAAATATATTGCACACAATTATGACGAATGTATCAAAAATAAAAATCTATTAAATAAAACTATTCTATTAAGGATGTATAACTCTATAATAAAATTAGGAAGAAACTCTATTTTATATATTGTAAAAAGAGTAGAAGCAAAACTATTTCTGAAAATCTAACTGGTATAAAAATTGAATACTTGGAAAATCGGAAAAAACGGGAAAGCACTATTCAAAACATTTTAACTTTTCGATTCACAAGAGCTCATACAAGATGCAAATAACATATCTATTAGATGCCAGCAAAATAGAAAATTACATTCTGATAGTGATAATAATCATTTACCTCCTTTTAATGAGGTTCGGAAAAAAATTTTTTAACATAGAATCGTCTCCAAAAAAAATGTTTGTAATATATTTGAATACATCATCAGCAGTGCTCATGAATTTTTTCACAATTTATACCATGGAATTTTTCGAGAAAAAAATTGCTAATTTAAGGCGGTCTTTTATGATAAAACAAGGTTATTGAATTCCTAGGTTAGACTGCCTTTTTATTACAATAAATGTGTTACAACAAAAAAAAACAAAAAGTTCTTATTGATATCTTAGCGAGAAAGAATGATGCTTGACTAAGAAAATCAATTATTGCCAGCATTTTTCAAAAATATAAAGGATTACAATCGTACAGTTTCAGATTTCTAGAGCGCAAGAGAAGGTATGTGGTAAAGGGAGCCAAGTTTGGCGGGCAGGGGGAACTCCCCATTCCACATCTCTTTAAATAATACAATTAATATTCTAAAACCTTCTTAAATATAAGTAGATAAGCTATAGCGGTTCTAGCACATCCCCTCTCCACTGACATAGTGGCCTGGTCATTTGGGGGTACTAGCGTCTGTCGCTCATAGCGCTGTGAGCGCGCTAAATTTAACTTTGCTGTTATGGAATAGTAAGTCTAAATATAAGAGAAAATAATAATAAAATTAAAATTGAAATAAATATTGAAAGTTCCAACTGCAAAAGCTTATTGAATGTTGCACGTGTGAAATTATTAGTAATGTAAAGAGTAAGTGTTTAAAGTTTCAACTGCAAGATTTAATAAATAGATTTTAGCACTGGTTTTTTCGCGCACAACTTAAATGTGCGAAATCTTGCGCAGCTTGTGCACGTGATGGATATACACAATTTTTTCTTTATGCGAGTGCGTTACATGATAATGTGGGATGTGAAGCGGTTGGAAAATAAATTGTTAAACATTTTCGTTTTATTTTGTTTAATCATTATATTAAAGCGAAAATTGTACATGTAATAAACTAGACACGTAAAATACGCATAATTTACGAAAGGATCTCATCCAACATTATATTCTTGATGTATAATACATTCTTACAGCTTTTCATTGATTAATTAATTAATTATTTCAGTCAAATGAGAGCCTACGACATACTTTTTTTCTTTAGGTCTACTTAGAGCACTCTCACGTCTTTTTTTCCCACTCATACATATCATCTCATACACAATTTCAGGGCTATTATCAAGTATGATGGACAATGCTGAGCAGATTGGAGCAGTGTTGTTGCAAGATCCACAACAGGTATTGTTGCCAGATCTATAACAGGTATTGAGGGAGTAGCGGACGATGTTGAGCAGATTGGGGTAGGTGTTGTTGTGAGATTCACAACAGGTATTGGGGGGCAGGTGTTGTTGCAAGATCTACAACAAGTATTGAGGGGGCAGCGGACGATATTGAGCAGGTTGGGGCAGATGTTGTTGTGAGATCCACAACAAGTGTTGAGGGAGCAGCGGACGATGTTGAGCAGGTTAGGATGGGGGATGTTGTGGATATCGTTACAGAAGGAATCGATGTATCGATGACAGCACCTATCGACGATGCAACTGTCAAATCCATTGGTGAGCCCCACTCGACCGTGCTGAGTGTCTCTAACTCTCGCGTGTGTGAAAAAGTTGGAGATGTTGCCGGTGGCGGTGTCCCCGATTCTTCAATAAAAGAAGAATGTGGCGAAGAAGTGTTGAACTCATCCTCTAAAAAATAATTTTTATTTTAGTTAGAAATTGACAAAAACTCCAAGTCCATTAAAATTTTAAAGAATACTCACCGAAAAAAGTTTTCATTATCGATGGTGACAACTCATCAAATGGCAACGGTGATAGTAATTGTACTTGCCTCTCTGTTTCAGCAGTACATATAGACCATAGGGAGCAAGGAATAAAATCATCCTCAAAATCTCAAAGATAGAAGAAATAAGGATTATCATGAGTATTTTAGTTTAAATTAAGCTGTTATTTATTAAATACTTACTCAAAAATCTAGCCATTTCCGATGGATTGACTGCTGACACTGCTACCAGTGAATTGGCTTCTACTGCAGTGAGCGTTTCAAACTCTTTCGAGTGCGATGAAGCCAAAGATGGGGGTTATTCATCTACAACGGCAACGATAGGGCCATCGGTTGTGGAGGAAGAGTAAGAAAATTACTCTCAGAGTCTAAAAATATTAAAAATTAGAATTTTTAACGTATGATTTGAATTTTTATTCAAATAAATATTTACCAAAAAAAGTAGTTGTATCTGATGGCGGTTGCCAGATTGGTTGCCTTTCCGTTTCATTAGGTACCGCGTCAAACATCGCCGTAAACGAAGACTTTGGTGATACAGGTGACGAAATGGTTGAAAAGTCTTTCCATGGTGAAAGCTGAAAATGATCACCTTTATCAGAATCCTGTTCAAACATCACGTTCGTTAAAGAAGCCAAATCCTCCAATTCCAACCATACGGTATCACTCATAGATTCTTTCATCAAATGTGTAGGCACCATTTCGATCGACACCGAGATTTTCACTGGATATATTTTATTAAGATGTAACTATCTTTCAGACTGATATTTTCTGAGCACAACTCGCTTTTATGAGACTTTGAATTTCACATGGAGTATGGAGAGAGAAACTGCATTACGCATACCCCTTCTTACATTTACTCATATTTTCTCAATATTAGAATAATTGTCTAAACCAATAGAAAGCTCTAGAAAGGGCACAATAACTCTTTCTATCATACCTATTCCTAAACTACATCCTCCCACTCCATTGCATTAGTTACTTCAACCAATAAGAAAGTTAGAAAAGGACAACAATAATTTTGGTCACTCAATCCACTTATGCAAAGTGAGGGAAATCGAATCTGCACATACAGAATATTTTCTGCTAAACGTCTCCGCCCTTCTTAGCCAATATGTTAGAGAGAGTGGCCATGAACTTCGCCTCGTGCCATAGTTGCTCTGTTACATGCGCACCAGTGAAGGATCTAGCAAGTTCAACGGTAACAAGGAGTACAACGCATCGGTCAACGCTTTTACTCTTCAAGGTCTTCTTAAAATCTTTCTTTTCTGTACTCGGAAATATTTTTCTGTTTTCTCCTCACAAATTTTTTTTTAATATCATACATCTTTACACTAGTTCTAATTTTAAGACGCAACAATGATGTCTTTACTCAAAACGTAGCAATGATGTCAATCGAGTTTTTGTTTTTTTTTTTACTCTTTCCGCAGAAATGATGGAAAGAGTGCTATTATCATTTACTTTTCTTTTATTTCTTTCGTTTGTTAATTTCATATATACTTTTAAGCTTTTATAAATGTAGTGTTAACCACTTAATATTTTAGAAAACATGATGGAAAAAAAGAAGAAGGGCGATATCAGGAGATACCCGGAACGTCTTCAGCGCAAAGCCTTCAGTAATTTTATTACAAGTTTGGAACTATCAGCACCCGAAATGAATAATAATGTAATAGCGACGCCAGAAAGTATCAAGAATTATTACGAAGAGGTAGCACCATCAGAACACGCAACGTTAAATGACACTATGGTGGGAGCAGAAGTAAAAAATGGTAAAATTTGAATTTTTTTTTTATTTTCATTAAGTGCATACTTGAATTTTTTTATTTTTCATATAGTGTATACAGGATTTAACTTTGTGCTCACTATGCAAGCAGATTATTTTATATATGCGGAAGAAAGGCGGCTTCTTTCGTGTCACTAAATATGGGAAAGAAATCACTTTCTCCCACGTATCCTATGAGAATAAACAAAAAGTCTTTCAAGTCACGTACATATCAACTCAGGCGTTAACTGACTGTGATCTGAAAGATTCTTTACTTTCATTCCTTGTCATAATTCAGTATTCACCTCTGTGTAGCATAAAATAATATATTCCTGTCTTTGACAATTGGACACTTGTCAAAGAAAATAAAAGACCTGTGTAAAATTATAGTTACACTATGCTTGTTTAATTTTTCTAGATGCACCAATGCAGCCATCCCAAAATGAATGGTTGGACTGCAACATTGATTTGTCCGCACCATTTTCACCCTCAGTATCATGGCAGCTATATGAGTGAAGTGAATTATTAGAGCCATCGCAAGAAGCAGAAATAACTAAAAATGAAGAGAGTATCGAATCATACACACCAGCTTTAACCGTAAGAGTTAAAAACATATCTCTTCTATTAAATACAGCTCCACCACCAACACCACCACCACCACCACTAGAACATAATTTTTTTTCTTAATTCGAAAATTTGGATACTTGGTCGGAAGAAGAAAAAAATGTACTTATGTTAAGAGTAAAAACTATTTTAAAAAAAGACGAAATAAAATTAATAGCCAGAGAGAAAAAACAAATGATAAATGGAATTTTCACAAACAAACAATTTTTAAGGTTTCAAAAACAGGAGGCCCAAAAAAAAAGAGAACTGAAGGCAATAGAGAATAAAATAAAAAATTGGAAGAGAAAAAAAATGAAAAGCAAAAAGCTGCTTTATTAAAAAGAAAAAAAAGAAATGAAGATCCTACTGAAAAAAAAGTGTTGAATGTAAGTTCCATAAACGCGAAAATCGATTACCACAAAAAATGCTAATTTAAACAATCATATTAAGGTACAATGTTAATATGATTTTCAACAACCACCTCTTTGTAAAGTACATATTATAATAGAATAAATGCATTGAAATAAGTTGTTTTACATGTGCAAAATAATAAGAGAATTTTTCTAATAAATTTTTTGTTTCTCAATACTTTTGTATAATCAAGACACATTTCGTAAGTACATTGAAACTTTACAACTCTATTTATAGAAAGATCGTTTGGAGAAATAATACAACGAGATAAGTTTTTGATAAAGGCTCACTTGGTAATTGAGATAAAAAATTCAAGATTACAGGGATACGATAAAACAACTTTTTTTAAACGTGATCTAACATCTGAATAATTTGATTTATTTACTCCATAACTCTGCTTAAACTTATGTTTAAACTAATGCGTTAACTTTGTTAAATAATTTGAAAAGTGAAATCAAATGTATACAGAAATTATCAAATAATGTCTAACAACATTATTTTTTTGTGTACAATAGCTAATTGTAATGATGAATAATTAAAAATTCATTTGTGTGTAAAAAATGTTTATATTATAAACAAGTTTTAATGTTAGTTTTAGTATTAATAACAAATGAAAGTATTTATTAACGTTTATACGAATGGATGGTCCTATATGTAACATTTAAAATTTCATACTTTGAATTTTTTTGAATACAGTCTTTTCTTACTACTACATTCTTAACAGCACATTTTGGATTAATGTGAAAGCTATGATGTTTACATGGTATGTAGTCATGCGTAAGATTTGTCAGAGATGGACACTCATGCTCCTTGATATTGGTAACTCTAAAATTAAATATGCAAGAAATTTAAAATAATACTCAATACTCAATACATTTATTATTATTTATAAGTGATTTTAAAAGACATACTTGCATGATAATATTCTTTCCACCCAATTTTTATTTTCACGACCCTTGACATAAACCTCTTCAACGTCAACCAGCATGCGTTGAAAATTATCAAGTCCTCCTTTGTAAGAAATGTTGCCAAAATTCTATCGTATACCATGAAAATTAGCCTCCAACCATTTGTTCGGACCTTGATCTTTTTTTGATAAACATTTTAACGGATAAAATGGTTTGTGCACTATAACAATAGGCAAAGCGTCTTTCTTTAGTTCGATGAAAGAAATCTCCTTAACTATAACAATATTGCCAAAACTCTGGAAGCCCTGACAGTCTACAATGTACTTTATTTTAATAAAAAGAAAATTGACGTTGCTCAGTCAAGTACAATCAAACGACTGAATCCTGTCGCTAAAAGACTTCACATCATTTACATTAAACATACACGTCCACTTCTCCCCGTCTCATCTCTGTCCAATAAGAAATAAGCCCTTCCTCCCTCTTTCCATATTTCACAACTTTCAGGATTTTAGGGGTTGTATTAGCTTGAGCAGCTCACTTCTACACAAACGCTACATTAGTAAACTACCTCGCGAGAGTTTTAATATGGCTTCTATTCAATATTTTAAAGATGCAGCTCATTGCACTCAGCAATCATTTATTAAGTGCTCGTATGACGATAGTAAATCAGAATATGAAAGCTATAGACAAAATAAAGAAGACGAAGAGACACCTGCTCATTGGTTTGTTTAACCTATTTACTTCCTCACTCTAAAACTAGAAGAATCATATAAAAATCCTCTCAAAATGATTGATTTGACTCTTGAAGAAAAAACCAAATATGACAAACAATCTTTGTGGCATTGATATGCTCGAATACTTTCTACAGGTTCCAATAAGCATTCAAAGTCTGCATATATAACAAAAGGTACTCGGTTCTTGAACGTAAAATTTTTAAACTCAAGTACGTGCTCATTATTATTTACATTACGTAATATAATTTTACTCTTGTTTAAATTTTTACAATCAATTTCGTGTGCTTCCAACCAAAATCGAGCGCAGAGACCAGTCAGATTCTTTATCTAGAAAATCGTCTAAACTTTTTTCTATAGGCTGTTGCACATTCACCTCGAACCGCTCATTTGGATCAGTAGTCTGGTAAATAGCCTGTGACTTTGTATTAAAATATTTTAAATCAGCATCCTCAACATTATCTTTAATCATCACATATTCAGATGCTAACACTGTATTTACTTTCAATGCTTGATAAATCTTAAGAGACTGTTGAATTCACTGAATAAATTTTTGTTTAGCATCTTTGAGGAATTTTTTTACATCCAAATGCTTTAAATTTACAATAAAAGCCAATGTGATACGATTTTCCCTCAGAGAGTTCTAAAAAAGAATACTATTCATATTCCTGACTTACCTGTAACTATTCTAAAAATAAACGCATTAAGAGTTGAATGTTACACCACAAGTGGAGCTTACATAAACAGTCACAAAGTACACACGATTCATAAATTTTTCCCCGCTGTACCACCCGGATATAAGATTATTGAAGTTCCTTCACAAATAATTTATTTACCAGTCATTGGACGTATCATTGGTCGTACACAACTTCGCATTGT